CTAAATGGCAATTGCTTATTTCCTTCCCAAAAGCCTTTTACTACAGGGAGGACGAGCGTCGTACCTGGTCCTCATTCATCCTGTCCTTCACACAGAGATGGGAGCTGCCTAGCAGGGCAGGGTAGGGGGAGCACAGGTCAAACCCACTTCTGTCCCACTTAGGTGTTTGTTAGTGCCAGTGTAAGCTCAGGGTTAATTACTAACCCTAAAAGACTCTTTCTTAGGGACACAGGGATGAAGAGAGCTGCGAAGGGCCGGTTATTTCTGCTGCCTCTCCTGCTGCCGGTTTCACAACCTGCATCCTCCCAGATTGTCTTTTCTCCCCTTCCATCTGAGCCAGGCTCTGCTTTCCTCTCCCTTACCCAGCAGTGGGTCTGTGCTTCCGCTCAGGGGCTCCTGCAGAAAGAGGGGCAGCATCCGTGCGGCAGCCACGGAGGTGACCCGAGCTCAAAGCTGTCCCACAGCAAAACTGCTCCAGCAGTTGTAGTGCCACCACATCTGCAACCCCGTGACAGCTCCGAGGAGCAAACAGCTGCTGTCTGAGTCGGTTCTGGTGACGGGAGATGGTTTCAGAGACGAATGTTCTCCCAGCTCACTACTGACACACGGGACAGGTAAATGAGATTTACTTTGGCATCTCATTCACTTCTCAATCCATCTTCTCTAGTACTTTTCTCCCCTCCAGCCTGTACGTGGAAAGGTCAATCGGTTTAATTATGGATGTTAGACACATACGTGCCATTTGCAGCTCTGCTAAGTGTGCTCACACAACTGGAACCCTCTTGCATCAAGTATAATAGCAACAGGTTTCCTATTGCAGCAAAGGTGCTCACTGGACCAGGATAGAAGAAATAACTAACTGAAGAGCAGTGAGTTTTAATGACATTTCTGCAGCTTCCCCAGGGCTGGCAGAATATGCTACAAATGTTTATTAAAATTCACTGCCTTCCTAAATAAACACTGACATCTCTATTTAACACAGTCAAATCCAAGTCAGCAAACAGACCACACAGCCCAAACCATACAGGAAAGAATTCTCTGCTCCCCTATATCCTTCTCAGTGGAGCAGGGGAACCTGTGCAGTCTCTCAGACCACGCCATGTACCAGAAGAGCAGGAGCACAGCACTCTGAAGGCAGCCTTGATCACATCATTCCATGTTTCTTTAAAGACCCTGACTTCCATGGATGGTGACCACAATAGGACAGCCAAGGGATGGTACCAGTAGATTCTGCTATAGATAGTCAGCCTGGCACTTGCCCACCTGTAGTTTTCTTGCTGTAATCACTGTAACACCACCCCAGAGGACAATTCCACTGACAAAGTGGGTACTTTTGATACCTGTCACTTCCCATTGTGGTTCTCTTTGGCATTCCCACGTTTAAGACCCTTTGAAAAGCAGAGGCACAAACCCATTAAGGGACTATAAATGGTTTACTGAGACTTGTGTGTTGTTTCCATCCCTGTAGAGAAACCCACAGAATCCTATAGGGGTCAAAACAAGCACACAAATTCACTACCAGTAGTTACCTTAGTCTTTGGAAACGATCCTATTGCGTGTTCCAGCAACTCTACAGCAATATAAACTTCACTTTGAAATAAAGAACACTTTAGGATTTTTAATTGCATCCTAACCTTTCATTAATTGGGCTTTATGCGGTGAGCAACATCACAATAATAGGTCTGCAACCCCAGTGTGGAATACAAATGGGCCACAAGCAGGGGAGAGCACCTGAGTGTGCCAGGGCCAGCAGCACCGTGGGAGCTGATGGACTCAGCCAGCACCACAGAGACTTCCTCATTATCCAGTGGCCTTTGGTTGACTGGAATTACTTTCAAAGCAAGCAACATCAGAAAAACATTCCCACACACCGCAGGTTTTGGCATTCACTCATCAGAGAGGCATAAAACAGCTCTAGAAAGTGATGGCTTTGAGCAGCTCTGAAAAGTCACATCTTGAATTTATCTCCGTAATAATGAGGCTGGTGAACAATTCTGTCAGCCAGATTTATTTGCACACCTCACATTGGTGTTTTCATGTCATTTCTGAACTTCCCATAAACAAAGGGTTTTACAGCTAATAAAAGTAATAATCCCAAGGGCAGGAATTTGTTTATGGCTCTGGCTGCATGCGTGCAGTCTGCCTGCATCTGTGCCACAGCACCCAAGGGACTGATGCTGCAGGATGCTCCGCATGGCCCCGGCCATGCCTGCAGGTCACTTGCATCTGCCTGCAACACACAGAACCTGGGGGATTACAGAATGGTTTGGGTTGGAAGGGACCTTAAAGCTCACCCAGCTCCAACCCCTGCCACAGGCAGGGACCCCTTCCACTCGAGCAGCTTGCTCCGAGCCCCTGTGTCCAACCTGGCCTTGAACACTGCCAGGGATGGGGCAGCCACAGCTTCTCTGGGCACCCTGTGCCAGCACCTCAGCACCCTCACAGGGAAGAGCTTCTACATAAGAGCTCATCTCAGTCTTCCCTCGGGCAGGTTCAAGCCATTCCCCTTGGCCTGTCCCTACATCCCTTGTCCCAAGCCCCTCTCCAGCTTTCCTGCAGCCCCTTCAGGCACTGGAGCTGCTCTCAGGTCTCCCCTTCAGGAGCCTTCTCTTCTCCAGGCTGCCCCAGCCCAGCTCTCTCAGCCTGGCTCCAGAGCAGAGCTGCTCCAGCCCTTGCAGCATCTCCATGGCCTCCTCTGGCCTCGCTCCAACAGCTCCATTGCTCCTGTGTTGTCCTCAGGAGGTCTTTCACAGTGCAGAGGAGCAGTTAATCAGTCTCAAAGCCAGATTTCCTCACTTGGCTTCCTTCTGGCCATCTCAGCCTTCCTACTTCATGTCCCTCACCCTTTACCACCCCTTCACATATCCCAAAGCCACAGCTGAGCAGCCTTTTGCCAGGGACAAGCACAGCTGCAGGAGCCCCACTGGGGAGCAGAAAGCCCTCAGTGCGGGTCCACAGGGGCCAGGAGCAGCTGGGATGCAGGACCCTGCCTTGCTGCAGCACAAACCCCTCTGCTCTGCAAGACTGGGATAAAGCCCAGGTCCTGTACGTGCCCTGTGCACAGGGGAAGGGTTCACTCCCCAGTTTTAAGAGTGAGGTTCCCAAATCCTTTTGGACATTCAGCATTCCCAGGTAGCTTTGATGCTTTCATCCTGTGACCCTCCCTAAAACACAGCTCCGGGCAGAGCAACAGCTCTGGCACCGGCTGCGTTGGAGCTAGCAGCACCTGAGACCTCTCCCCACACTGGGCTGGCTGGAGATATTTCCCAGCAGAAAAGTGTTGTCTTTTGGGGAGTGTGATGTCATTTGTTCTAATTCCTGTTGACATTTCATTTCACATGCTATTAAATGAACCCCTTCAGAAGGCTGAAACAAATTTGTTATAGAAGAAAGAAAATGCATGCTTTAGGACAAAACAAGCTCATGATTTGTTTTTCTGATATGGGTAACATATATAGAATCACAGAATAGCTAGGGTTGGAAAGGACCTTAAGATCATCCAGTTCAACCCCCCTGCCATGGGCAAGGACACCTCACACTAAACCATATCACCCAGGGCTCTGTCCAACCTGGCCTTGAACACTGCCAGGGATGGAGCATTCACAGCTTCCCTGGTCAACCCATTCCAGTACCTCACCACAGTCACAGTGAATATATGGTAATGTATGGTGCAAAGCATCCAGCCAAGCTTAAACAGTGCAGCTCCATTGCACGTAATAGTGTACTGGTGACCAATGTAACACCACTTGCTACTATTGATACTGCCATTTCTCATAGAATCACAGAATGGTTTGGGTTGAAGGGAGCTTAAAGCTCATCCAGCTCCAACCCTGCCACGGGCAGGGACCCCTTCCACTGGAGCAGCTTGCTCCAAGCATGTTTTTTATGATGTCTCATCTCAGTCTCCCCTCGGGCAGGTTAAAGCCATTCCCCTTGGCCTGTCCCTACATCCCTTGTCCCAAGCCCCTCTCCAGGTTTCCTGCAGCCCCTTCAGGCACTGGAGCTGCTCTCAGGTCTCCCCTTTAGGAGCCTTCTCTTCTCCAGGCTGCCCCAGCCCAGCTCTCTCAGCCTGGCTCCAGAGCAGAGCTGCTCCAGCCCTTGCAGCATCTCCATGGCCTCCTCTGCACTTGCTCCATCAGCTCCACGTCCTTAATTTTTCAGCCAGTCACAGTATTTCTAATTAAACCAATCTTTCTCTTTGTTAGCAAGTAGAGCTGAAATGCTTTCTGTAAATATCCAGGTTTGTATCTGCAATAATACGCTGCTGGATAATGGAAGGGCAAGTGTAAGGGAACCTAAATGAATCATTTTTTATTTGAGCAATTTAGCAATGACATATTATATCAATCATTTCTGCGCTGGGTCTGTGGAGTAAGCAGATATCCTGACACATTTTATACCTTTCTTCGAACAGTATAAAATGACCTTAGGAGATAGACGAAGCTGCTAAAGGTGGCAGTGAATCTCTTTCAATGGCAAAACGGAGCAAGGAGGGAGAGGGACACCCTGGTCTGGCAGTGTGGGGCAGGAGGACACATGGGGACGGTGGGTCTGTGAGCAGGGGACAGGCCATTGCTGGGGGACCAGAGCTCCCAACACACTAAGCAGAAACCCCCACAAGCACAGCTACCATAAACACACAGCTTCCTCCTGCTTTTAACTCCCAATGTGCTACATTCATCTTCTGTGATTAAAGCTCAGCAAAGTCATTAATACTGAGGCTTTCCTCACTGTATCACGTTAAAGAAATAGACTTCCTTACTTATTTAAAGGAAACAACCCCCTTTTCGCCATCTAGAGCTGATTTCATAGGGGAAATGTAATACTGACAAATACTGCCAAGGAGTGCATTTGTATATGGCTAATCAACAACTTTATGAACACTGTAAAACCACCATTTATGGGATAAACAAAGGCTGCTATTTGCAGAAATCACACAAGTTCACGATGGCAACGCAGCAAAGCAACGTGCAGGGAGGATGTCCCACAGCACTGCAAACGTGGGGCTCTTGCCATCCCATTCCTGGGAAAAGCGAGGGCTTAGGGACAGACACACAGCCCGACTGACCACAGGGCTCTCACTCTGCCAGCCCAGCACCTCAACGATCTGCCCCAAAATGCTAGAACCTAGGAAGAGGAAAAACTCTCTTGGAACAAGGAATAATTTCGAGGCTGATGTGAACTTCTCCCTTCTCAGTTTTTAAAGTGGGATTATCTCATATAATAGCCTTAAAGATATGCCCCAGGGCCAGTCCCTTTTACAGTGAATAATACCTAATCACCCATTTCTTCCCATATAATATACTACCACCTTCTAAATTTGTCGATCTAATTAGCTCTTTCCCCTAACACTCACTATGATTAAATCTGTATTAAAGCTTTCTGTGCAGCACAGGAGCAGACACACCTGAGCATTGGCTAAATTTAGCAGAGGACAATATTTAATGGGTTATTTTTAATAGATGCTGGAATTGCTGCATAAATGAATTCTGATTTGAGTTTCCTCAGCCGCCTTATTTTTTATCTCAGCTCCCTTAAATTGTATATCAAGCAGATTAGGAAGAATAATGGAGAAACTTACCTGGCACCATCCATCAAGTATCCTTCAGAACTAAATTAACAATGAGCACTTTATGCAAAAAGAGGAGGAAGAAACTGGGTTTCTTTATACTTCAGCTCCATCATTTTATAAGATGTGTCAGACTACACACATCTGGACTCATCTCCCAGTCTTCATGTGGCTTAAACAGGGCAAGCCTAAGGGCTGGAAACAATTCCTAAGCATGTTCATAACTTGCATTTGATTTAGGAAGATTTGCATGTATTTGGAATAACTAAAAGGCCCATTTGTGCATTGTGGAGCAGTGAGCTGATCCCCTTTCACAGACCCCATCAAAGTTACTGCTGATATAAATCATCAGTGAACCACCGATTCCTAAGAGGTTTGTCACACACCAGTGCTCTGCAGGCTCAAGCGTGAAGGTAAAGCTGCCTTCTCCACTCAGACTGGGGGCACTCTGTGGAGCTGCAGCCCCAGAGGAGATGGGGGGATGCCAGGCATGGCATAGCACTGGGAATGCAGCCCCTGAACTCCATCAGCTCCACGGGGAAAACCTGCCCTGTTCTCTTCCGCAGAGCCCAGGAGATGCTAAAATGTTCCCTGAAGCAACAGGCTCGGGATGCAGAGACTCAGGGGTTACCTGAGCTGTGCAGAAGAACAGGATAAGAGCAGTGGAGCTGCTGGAGAGTCCAGAGGGGGCCATGGAGATGCTGCGAGGGCTGGAGCAGCTCTGCTCTGAAGCCAGGCTGAGAGAGCTGGGCTGGGGCAGCCTGGAGAGGAGAAGGCTCCTGAAGGGGAGACCTGAGAGCAGCTCCAGTGCCTGAAGGGGCTGCAGGAAAGCTGGAGAGGGGCTTGGGACAAGGGATGTAGGGACAGGCCAAGGGGAATGGCTTTAACCTGCCAGAGGGGAGACTGAGATGAGCTCTTAGGCAGAAGCTCTTCCCTGTGAGGGTGCTGAGGCGCTGGCACAGGGTGCCCAGAGAAGCTGTGGCTGCCCCATCCCTGGCAGTGTTCAAGGCCAGGTTGGACACAGGGGCTTGGAGCAAGCTGCTCTAGTGGAAGGGGTCCCTGCCCGTGGCAGGGGTTGGAGCTGGAGGAGCTTTAAAGTCCCTTCCAACCAAAACCATTCTGGGATGCTGTGAGTGTGGCAGATGTTCTCTGCCATGGAGATCTCCCATTGGAGCAACAACTGAGTTGTCTCAGCCCCTGGGAACAGGAGTGACTCAGGGCTATATCCTGAGTCTCAGAGAGAATTTTAATTGCTCAGTGCAACTTGCAAGAGACAAAGCAGGAAGGATGGGAGACCTGGCAATACCAGCTCCCATTAAAAAGGGTAACATTCTCTGATGGGATCTCTTCTAAGTCCTTTCACCGTCATTCATTAGGAAGGTAGATGGAAACCACGCAATGTCTCTGGGGTTCCTAACTGCCTTCAGAACACCCCACAAAGGTCTCAGTGTGCCTCTAATCAGAATACTTCCTGTTGCTAGTGTAGGAATTCAACTGAACCCTGTTGTAAGGGTTGAAAGTCAGTTCCTGGCCCATTTAACTACACAGCCATCTCTTTCATTAGAGTCCACTGGCAGAAAGATAACCAATTCCATCTCCATAATTACAAAGACATCCACAGCAGGAGACAATAAGGTTGTTTCTTACGGAGGATTTGAATTACTTCAATTATTGTGTCTGCAGCCTCCCATTCAGGGAGCGTGAGGTTTGGGATTGCTTTAGAGCAATCAATTGTGCCTGATTGGTTATATTCAATACAACTAGATGGGAGACTGGGTTTTTGTTCCCTTTAGGCAATGCAAGCTCAAAGACCTGCAAAATCTCTGTGCCCCCTTCAGGGCTGTCTCTTGAACAGAACAAAGGCACAGGCTGCAGGAAGGAGAAACTAATAATATTCTTGGGTGTATTTATTTTAGGCTGCTTCTTCCTGAAAGCACAGTTTATCCTCACACGTCATCCCCTGAGTGCAAAGAGCTGTGCTAGGGAGGTCAGTGCCATCAGCCTCCCTTTGCAGGTGAAGAAACTGAGGCACAGAATTGAAAGCGATGGTGGAAAAGGAATCACTTTTGCTCACGTTGTACAGGCAAAAGACGAGGTCCAGAGCATTACTGTGCAAGGGTAGACCTGGCTTCCAATAGAGCGCAGAAATAGAGCAGGAAGGTGTCGTGAACCCATCCCTGACCAAAGCACGGATCCATTCCAGGGTGAGTTCACCCTGCAAGCCAAATCCAGGCACGCTGCAGTGTGGCTCCAGTGCAAATGAAGTTCTCAGGACTAATTAAAAGGCACTTTTTCCTTTCTCTTCTCTCTGCTAGTCAATAGGATAAACAATAGGCTACTGGAATACAAAGAACTTGCTCAGTGCATTGTGGATTCTCAAAGATGCTTTACAGCATTAGATAGCAAACACAAAAGCTGAGCTGATGATGTGTTTATTTGTGTATAAATGTGTTCCCCTGGTGTCACTTTTGGCACGGAAGAAAAGAAATATGTTTCTGCCTAAACACTTCAAAATGGCCAGAGGATTTGATCCTCATTAAAAGATTTGTAATCCTGTCTCTGGAAGGCATGCAGAAAAATGGGTATGCCTCAAAAAACTACAACACATTAATGGGTTTTACATCATCCACGCCTGTTTTGCCAGACCTCCAACTTACACTTAATTTGAAGCATAGATATGAGCTTGGACTGGATTAAAATTCCACAATGAATTCCACAATGAACCTCTGCTGAACTTACTGTCATCTCTAGGAGCCGTGGCCAACGTAAAGAACTCCAACAAATCTCTGAGTATCTTACTGGCTCCAAGCTTACTGAATTTCCTTCAAGTTTCCCCCGAGAAAAGATTGTTTTTCCCTTCATTTCCACCTCTGATCAAAGCCTTAACACCCAAGTCAGATCACTCCATTAAACTAAGACCAGGTAATACTTTCAGGTGTGTTTCTTCATTAGCCCTAAAATCTCTTTGTAATTTTTGAGTAAAACATGTATTTATGAAAGCTCTGCTTATGAGCACAACGCACTGGTTCAGCACTCCAAGCTTCAGCACACATCTCGTTTCAGCAGGTGATCAAATCCTATTGCCTTAACCAAAGCACTTCTCTAAGCAGGCTCTTGACAGACCAGTTTAAGCATCAGCTTTGCTGTGCTCTGGTCTCCAGCTTAGCCCTTTCATGGTGAGCTGCCTAAGACAGCACCACCACCTCTCTCCACAGCTACACATCAGAACTAACATCGTTCACTCCCCAAGGAAACTGAAGTGGCCCTGTTGGAGCTGGTTTCTGCGGTGGAGAATGGGAGATGCTTGCTTTATCAGTGACGTATAAGACCACAGAATCCCAGACTGGTTTGGGTTGGAAGGGAGCTTAAAGCTTATCCAGTTCCAACCCCTGCCACGGGCAGGGACACCTTCCACTAGAGCAGCTTGCTCCAAGCCCCTGTGTCCAACCTGGCCTTGAACACTGCCAGGGATGGGGAATCCTGTGAAATATGGCTGTGAAATAAGGCTGTGCTTCTGCAGCTCCTGCCCCAGCTGAAGTTATCTCATCCTGGGACAACCTCGCAGCTCCTATGTCTGATTTGCAAAGAAAAAAAATAAATAAGATAAAATGAAGAAGACTTGTTCTTTACTTAAAGTGTCACCTGAAAGTTTAAATTTAGGAATTCAAAGTCCCCCTGTGCTTCTGCCTGAATTTTTAAATATAGTCATTAAAAATAAAATCAACCCTTAGCATGATCCACCTTACATAACTTCCTCCACAGTTTAAATATAACCCGTTCAACTTGCTAGTACTCGGTGTGCCTCAGAGCACGGGGTGGGCAGGTATCTGACTGCAGCCACGCAGGGCTCACGCCTCAGCCCTTCCCCACCAAGACCTGCCCTTACAAGAGCTTTAGCCTTTGGGTACAGACCCCACAGTAAAGCTGAGAACCCAGCTCTGAGGGTGCTGGGGGGAGGCAGCCAGTGCAGGGATCACCCCTCGTCCCATCACCAACCAAGCCTGGTGGGTCCGGCGTGCTGGAGGATCTGGTTGTCTTTCCACACATGGTGTTTTCCTTCCTTACTGCAAGCACGTGGCACAATTTAAAGAGCTGTTTATGTCTGGAGCTAAAAGAAGCAGAGCTCTGCTGTGTAGCGTGGCTCCTGGATAACTGCATTACCAGAGAATCCTAAATCTTATTTTATTCTGGTCCAATACATATTAAAGTCAAGGAAAAGGCTCATTTAAATACCCAAGGGTATAAATACAAAACAGATCTATCCTTGTATTAGTGCTGAAATCAAACAATGCATTAATAGCACTTCATTAAATCATCCAGGTATTGGTCCCTACAGCTCTGTAGCTGAAGCCTCAGCTATGTACCACGGGAGGACCAAATATCAATGCTCTTCTGTTCCAAATAAAGTTCCTGAGACATCTCAGATGTACCCAAAAAGCTGGAAGCCAGTAAGAAGTGCAGGGAGGAACGAAATGACCATGTGAGAATGATAAATGCATTGGAAAGTAAGGAGAGCGAGGAAATATATCAACACAGGGATATAAATCATGTAGATACA